CCACTGTATGTACAAAAGAAATCATAAAACCGAAAATAAGGAAGAAACAATTTTCTCCAAACACGTAACTTACACTATATTTATAAAATACTGATAAGTTGTTTTAACAAACCTATTGTAGACGATCGTAAAACTTTTTTTTTGTTCCTGGATTGTTCTACGTGTGCAAGTTATCGTAAAAATTGAGCACAAAACAAACAGAACGATGTTTTACATTGTTTTACTGAATAAACAGAATTGTCTTAAACTTTTGAAAAATAATGGGATATTACCAGTTATTCTGGAAAATAACAACAACAACAACAACAAGAACAAGAACAAGAACAAAATATATGGAGTCATGTGCAAAATTTGAGGGTTTTGCCGTCTTCAAGTTCAAAACCTGCGCGCGCACATCGTGGGCTCAAATCGAAAAGTAGTTAGCAACAAAATAGAAAGCGATAGGCTTTGGTTTTGAAGGATGAACAATAACTGCTTAAAGCTGGAATGCAATGTTCGAGAAGGTTTGCCCAAAGGTCGCTTGATGACATACTTGGGAAGAACAATTAGAGGGAGTTGCAGTGATCCAACTTGTTGGTAATCTCCTTCGCAGCCGGCGGCCGACATTAGTTTCGGTCCCTAATCCTCACGCTTCCTGAGCCCTCCCCCCGTAACGCGTTATTGGGAAAGACAGGGAGGATCTGGGACCGAAACTAATGACGGCTACGAAGGAGCCTAACTTGTTGGTGATAAAGGCATAAATTACGATTACTAGAAAGTTATTATCAAGAAACAAATACAACAGAATGATTTTGATAATGAAGACTTGAGCTATATAGATACARTTTGGAGCTCGGATAATGTTAATGTAGGGTAAACCTTGGTAGAAGTGCTGTAATCTTAGAAAGACGAGCAGCACAAAACATGGCGAGAAAACTGGCCGAGTGAGATTACAAAAGTAACAGACGTGAACCAGGATTTCAAGAGATGAATTAAAAATGATAAAGTGAGAGGACTTTGCTCTCGAAGACATTGAAATACAGTCAATTCAAAAAACGTTGTCGTCGACCGGCCCAAGCCTACGCGACTCGACCGAAAGGAATATGGGTAAAAATCACTGAAGGGTTAAATATTCGTTCTGAATTAATTGTTCCCGCTCGTAATAAGATAATAATGGCGAGAAACAATCCATCAAATGCATGTCTTCGGGTTTAGGGAAAGAAAAACAAAGTAGTTACGATTCAGTTCACAATTCCGAAAATATGAAGGCATTAAAAAACGTTTCCTTCAACACTTCCCGCTCGCCTACGAAGGTTCGTGCTGTAAGCCAGGCACAACTAGTCAGATAAAATTATGGAGTCAACTCGCCTTCAATGATTACTACCCAGAGTTCCTTTCGGTCCAGTCGCGTAGGCTTGTATTGGCCGACAACATTTTTTGAATTGACTGTATGTAAGTCGATAAACGATCGACGCGTCTGCATGTTGTGTTTACATCGTTGCTACTACACTGTAGGGCAAACTATAAACTAAAGTAATGAAAAAACTGAATCGATCTTTTTTATTCTGATTAATTGATATATTGGTTTTGCTGATGAATGTTTTCAAGTATCTTGGTGCCGGCTATTGGTAAAAAGTGGTCTTGCATATATCCGCAGCACTTCACTTACATTATGTCACGACTAGTTTTCTAATCATATTCACTATTTAATATCATTTGGGTGTAAGCTAATGTTTTGAATATCTTTGAATCTAAAGGTCAAACGACCTCCCTATTTGAAGTCTCTTTTTTTTATCAACCAACACTTATGTACAATCACCCAAGAAGTCAACAACTTCAGAAAGTTCCCTGTTCTTGGCTTCTTTATGAGCCCAACGTTCTTCTGCAAGTTTTGGTGTTATCTGCCAACGGTCATGATAAATTGTATTRCCACATACAGGGCACTTCTTGCCACCTGGAAAGAGAAAACTTGTAATGTGGAATTTGCCATTGAAAGTATAAATGAATGTGACGTACAAATAACTCAAGTAGTTTTATAGAATCAAGCAACTTTGTGCTTTAGGTTACTCTCGGTATTTTGGTGGAGGGAAGAGGAGGGGAGGGGAGGGTAGGGTATGTACTGTTTAATAAACGAGCAGGAGTGTCATAGACCCGATAAACACGATCTGCGAGTATATTGAACTGATTCACAAATGTCGTGAGCATGGACTTTTATACTTTGATAGACATTTGTACATCATGCGCAGCTCCCRCAAGTTGAAGACAGCATGCCAAACTCACTTGTGAACGATTTTCTGGGGGTCGTCAATAATCGTACGTGAGASCATAGTTAATGGAGTGGAATCAAATTGCTCCAGTGCAAAGTCTCATAACTTATTCATGAGTTTTTGAATGTATCGTATCGTATCGTACCGTACCTTACTGTATTGTATCGTATTGTTTTGTACTAACTGTACTGCAAGGGTTGTACAGTTAGGCCAAAATGCAATTGTACTGGACAGGGCTTGAACCCTTACTCGGACTCTAGTGCTTTAGCCTCCTACATTTACSTACTGATGCGCCCTCATACAGTGTTTTTAAGTCCAAAAGACTAACCATAATAATTATAACTATATAATAATTAGATTGACAAACACACTTCTCACTGAGGTCCCTGACAATGAAGTTGGTAGCTATAAATATGACCAAATATTTCACCATTCAACTATTCACATTATGTAGAATCAATACTGAAAGTATTGTGTCAGGGGTTAGGTACACTTTAAGAAAAATGTCATATCAAAAAATATGTCATAACTAAATTAAATTAAATAGATGTTTGCTATTTTAAAAATATGAAATGCACTGTTTATACCAGTAAAGGGTGGAGTTTTCATATATTCATCGAGGCAGGTAAAATGGAACAAATGTGAACAGTAGACACGCTCAACRAACTTTGCATCCTTAGGATTCGTAACACAATCCTGAAATAAAAATGACAGCAAATTCAAAGAGAAATAACAGAGTGCTACATATTGTGAATCACTTCCAAAACAGAAGGGGTATGGAGTTTGTATGTATGTACTAGTGAGATGTGAATGGTTTCTATGTCAATCCTAATCAATGCAAGTCAAAATGGGAAAATTTTGACAAGAGCCATTAATGTAACATACTTTTGGTTCTGTTGGAAGAGCTCTCTTCTTGCACAATGCACATTCCTCTGTTGGGTACCGTCTAATACAGTCTTTAATTAGGAAATCAGAGACTACCTTTAATGATGGCTTTGGTACAAATGGTGGTGCYCTAAAAGACACAATTCATATCATAAAACTAAATAAATAAGAATAAATTAAATAATTGTGATTTTGATGCAGTCTGAATGACATTYAACAGTTATTGGGTTAGACTAAGCCCCCAGGGGGTTTATTTATTTCAGGCATGTTTGAGGGGGGGGCTTATTAGAGGGGGCCAGCTTGTGGATTTAGAAATGCAGTGCAATGTATTCTATCAGATCGGCCTAAATAATTTATATGATTTGATAACTTTCTTTCAACCAGATAAACATAGGATTACAGCGCAACGCGCAAAAATATGACCACATTTAATGTATTTGAATACTTCTATGCACGCGCTTTGTGCTGTCAAACGAGCTTTTACACGCCTTATTTGGTAAMACTGACCAGCTTTGCGTTGAAATTTGTCGATTTAACGTAAAAAAAACTTTGCACGTTGGTTTAAAGACTGAAGTATTACATATGATATTTCCCTATAATTATCACGGTTTTTGTGCGACTGATCTGAACTTTCAAGATGTSTATACATTCAATCGCAAAATCATTTTTTAGCTTAAAACACAACGGTACCGGTATGCTGGAAAATGACACAATTATCCTCTGATGTATTAATTTGAGATACACAGTCAAAACGCCTCCATGCTATTTGTCAGTGCAACAATTTATGAACCTATCGAATGTATTGAATCACTAGTAAGATACATCTAATTAGGATACATCCCATGCATCATTTGGGTTTCAGCTTCTAATGATATTATTAAAACATAAAATGACAGAATATTCAATATATCAAACTGCCRCATAGCAAACTCGTGGATACCCTCTTCTGAATCTTACTTGCACTCTTGAAATATTGGGTTCCCTGTGCTCCTCTTACATCCCGCTGACAAGAACTTTGCATGATGCGTAAATTACTCCTTACACTTTCGCTCTGCTCCTGTTCTATCACCTTTCACTGTGGGAACTGAGGTTATTTATCCTTCTGATCATGCCAAAAACATTGGTGTTATTTTTGACAGTATCTATAACTACTCATGTTAATTATATCGTTAAGTCAGCTTTTATCATTCACAMGGAATATTGTATAAGAAAAGGAAATTTCTATCGTGTGATACTACTTAGGCTGCGTTCATAATGTATGGCAGGGGGGAGGGGGGCATCGGAAACATTTTGGTAGAAAAAAGGGGGGATGGGCAAATTTTTATCAGAAAAATGGG